GAGTGAGAGGGAAAGGAGGACAATGAACTGTCATTTCCTATGAATCATACACTCAACAGAATATGATGATTGAGCTGTAATAATAAAGCCTCTTAGCTTAATATTCTCTCTGTATAACACTTAACAATTAAACAATTTTACAAAAATACTAAGAAAGTATATCGAAGAATTTCCATTTCCTTAAGTCTTCACCAACTAATTAAGTAATAACATGTAAGAGTGCCTAGATACATAGAAGACAAGTAATAAATGTATCTTACATCTGTTGAAATGTCAGCAGTAATAAAAATGAATCAGATTGCTTAAAATTTCTATCACATTGGCTTCTTTATTGTCTACCTCCATCTTCCTATTAAATTTCTGTTTGTGTTTTATTTGATCTTGAAAATGAAGAGAGTAGGAAGTAGCCCATCCAACAGAAATATGTCTAAAGTGAATTATTATTCATAAAGAATTATTCATAATTCATTAGTTCAAATAATAATGATCTAGTACCTGATATATAGAAATAATTATGCTTAACTCTAGAAGTTTTTTCCTAATTTAGTTTCTACAATACCTGGATCAGTAGCCTCGAAAGGTGCTGTACAACTGTAGATAATTCCTAGATCTTTGCTGAGATAACAAATATTTTGATTTAGTTGGAGTGGTTCTCAAGCAAGGGCTGTTTTGCCTCTCAGAGGACTTTTGGCAATATCTGGAGACATTTCTGGTGTTCATAGCTGAGAGAAGCTACTGGCGTCCAGTGGATAGAGGCCAGGGATGCTGCTAAACATCCTACAATGTGTAGAGTAGCCCTTCAAAACAAAAATTCACCAGTCCCAAAATGTCAGTCATGCCAAGGTTGAGGAACCCTGATCTAATGTGAGAAAGGCCAAAGCTTATAAAGTAGATAATCAATATTTAAACAAATAAAGATAAAAGAACTGATAAAGAAACTACCTGTAAACTTTTAGCATATCAATTCACAGAAACTTTTATTCTGTCATATGTGGCATATTCCTTAGTTAGATATAACTTTTGGATCTGTTTATACCTTGGGATTGGGACATGTGCTTCAGGACTCAGCTGAAGTA